ATGCGGTATCGCCCGCGCATTTTGAATGGCTGCATCTGTAGGAGAATGTGCGGAATTTTGGAACAATGCCAATGTTGTTAGCACAGGAATGCATAGAAATGTGTGGTACGAACGCTGGCAATCTTGTGAGCACAGGAAAGCGTGATAGATAACAGAAAAATATTTAAGAACTGTTCTAGGTTAATTTGAGAAAAATACACCACGCGTCTCTGTGTTCTGCTCCCATGAAATAAAAACTTATTTTAACTTCTGAGATGGACTCCTGAAACAGAAATGGGGAAAAATGCAAGCTTGCGGATTGCTAAAGCAGGTAAGCCCCACACTATTTTTGAAGAACCTTATTTACCGTTAGCAAAAGAGCTGATGTCTTATGTGTGGAGAAAAAGCTGCTAAACAGCTTGACCTGCTGCCCCCTCTGAAAGACACAGCCATTGATATGGCAGATGATATAAAAAGTATGCTGATAGAGCGCATTAAGATGAGCAGATGCTTTTCACTGCAATTAGATGAATCTGTAGATGTCGTCGATTTGGCCAATTTGCTCATTTACTTTAGATACGAGTTTGAGGTTATGTCCCAAGAGGACTTTCTGTCCTGTAAGCCGCTAGCAACAGGAACTACAGGAGAGCACATATTTCAGCTTCTGAATGGATTTATCGAAGAGAATGGCATCGACTGAACAAAATGCGTCGGAGTTTGTACAGACAGTGCTAGTGCAATGACAAGCCGACACAGCGGTGTAGTTGCATGAATCCAGAAATGAATGGACATATTGCAACATCCACCACGAGACCTTTGCTGTCAAGAAAATGCCTGAAGATTTTAAATCTCCTAGACTCCGCTGTGAATTGTATCAAGGCTCGAAAAATGAATTCACATCTGCTTCGCTCGACTGAACAGGCTCACCCCTCTCACTGAAATGGTGCTTATTTATTGTTATTGTTCCTGTTTTTTTTTTCTGTAAAGCTCTTTGAGAAGCCACCTTAAAAGGCGCTATAAGTTTATTATTATAATATTTATTATATGTATATGTGAGTCTGTGAGTGCACGCACACTCATGTTGGCCATTGAGAATTTCTGGGGTTCCTATGAGAAGATGACTTGCAGGTGGAACTTGGATGGTTTGGTTTGATCAGGGGTGGTACTTGGCCCAAAAAGTTTGAAAACCACTGCCCTATGGCATCTTTTGTTACTTTTCAGACACTATCCCTTACCATTCACAAGCACTAAATTCAAACATAATACAGGCCACTGTAATTATCTAGAATTTAGTAATGTTAGCAATGTTATTAAATCGATATTGCTCAATAAGTTGATAAATGGTTAAATCAAAACTGTTTTGAGTCAAAATAGCATTCATTTTTGCAAATTAAGATATTCTTTATTTACATATCCTTTATGATTATCTGTATTTAAGTGTTCGTTTTATGTACAGGTACAGTTCAGTACCGCTAAGCACACATTTGACAAATTTTGTTGTTAATGTTTAACTTTGATGTCCTTACTCATTCATAGAGTCTTTAGCAGCTTTGGAAAACCAGGCACTTTAATTGAAGTTCCTGTTTTCTGTATTCTCCTTTTCCAAACACGTACAGCCGATAAGCACATCACCTATGTCTGGAAGGATGGCTGAGACTTTTGAGGTTCTGGGACATTTAACAGGAGGGAAGGAAATACCAGAACAGTCTACATATTTTATTGATTAATAACCACAATTGAAATTCACAGAGGGAAGTCTTTACACCTTACTAATACTTAAGTGATAGATAAGCTTTATAGTTGTTTCTATTTACACTATGTGAAACTACTATTTTTTTTTTTCATTTTAGTTTCATAAATATTTGTGATGAATGACATACAGTACTTCCAAACTTGTGAATTACAAATTTGGCTATATGATTGAAAAAAATAGTAACTTTTCTGATAAGACCTGAAAACTGAATAGATATTTTGTTGTCATTTTTTTGTATTTCGATAATGTCTACCATATCTAAATGTTTTGATATACATTAGATCCATAATTATTCAGCATTTGTCAAGTTTGCTGAATATACGGTATGTAAAGAAGATACAGTATAATGTATTCAAGCCATAAAATTACTTCCACCAATCACTTCTCTTTTTTTACATTGAACATTTTTTAAAGTATATTTAGAAACAAATACAAGAGCTGGTAGTAATGTGATTCCTGTTCACTTTTTCAGTAAGAGATATGATATCTCTGATATCTAAGAATGAAAAAAATAAATAAAATGACAGTGACAGACTGAAGAAGTCTAATTTGCATTAAATTCATTACAGGCCCTATATTTAAACCAGGAATGCCTGAAATTCACACAGATTGCAAGAGCTTTTTAGAAGTCACAAGTAGCCCAAGGCTCCCCCTAATTCTAATTGATGTAAATGAAGAAAATTGTGAAAGCTTGGGAGTCCTGACCTTGTTATACAGGGTGACTAACCCCAATTAATCAAAGATCTTTTAGAGATGCTTCAAGCTAATAAATAGAAGGCTCAATCAAAAGTCCCATAGTTACAGTTACTCAACTGATTGTGCTTCTGGATAAGATTGAAGTGCCCCATGAAAAGAGCTTAGTACTTTTGATACAATCTTGTTAGATAAGTTTGTTAAAATGAGAATTCCAAGAAGCTGTTAAAACAAGACACACCATCAACTGTTTAATGACTATTTAAACCCCTGGCTGCATACAATACTGTATGTCAAATTACCCTTAAATCAAAATATAATTTATGTGTGTAAACATCTATTTTAAGTCTTCAACTATATCTTATTTTTCGTGTGATTTTAGAAGAATAATGGCTTCTGTATTGCAAGTGATCACCTATTTGAAATAATACTGACCTAATTGGAGTTCAGAAAAAATATGGATTTGGTGGCTAAGGAAAGAGGGACACCAACTCACCACCTAGCAACCAGACTGTGACTTGTAAGTTTAGTTAGCCAGAAACATTTGTACTGAATTCCAAAACAGGTACGTCATGTTTCATTAATAATTATATATAATATAATATTTACTTTTTTACTGATAAACAGTGTCTACATATCAGAAATTTCAAAAAAAATTGATGGCCCCTAAGAGTTTGGGGAATAATAAAAGCAGACAAAAGAAGTTTCACATTGTCATTGAACATTATACTGTACATCACTTAATACACAAACAATAGAGCCATAATGAATCACATTTATAGTGTTGCTATGGCAATTATAAAGAACAGCAAACTTGGTTTTGCCTTAATTTATTATAAGCCTTTGTTAACGTGCATAAAAGGCTTTGTAGGTTTTTGTTGTACATCAGTGTTGATATTGTGAGCGAAATGAGTGTGAATTCTTTTGGGTACAAATCGGACAAATGAGAAATATGTAGAAAAATTGCTTTGAATAGCTTTCCTTTTTTCTTTCAACACTTGAAGTCCTCACAATTCTGAAGAAAAAAAAAGGTGATTAAACATTGTAATTTAATATAATCAAATGAAACTGGAAACCTATCTCAGCCAGAATACTGTGACATGGGTTTATTCTTTTGTTTGTTTTTTTATGGCTTTCCATAATGCATATTACCTTATTAAGCCCACATAGGTCTCTAAGGGCATTTTTACAGCTGCAATTGGCAAATTCATTATAAACGACTGCAGTGTGTGATGAAAGGTTATGCCAGGGTGCCTTTGCTAATAATGCCAAAACGTAGGAGATGCTTATCACATCTGTAGTGATAGAAACACAGAAAGTGAGAGTGGAGCAGGGTCCCGGGATGCACCAGCTGTTGTCGTGGCTCCTCCCTGCCGAGTCCCAACCTCGGCTTTTCCTCTGCAAGGCATGACAATCTGTTGACATCCCCAGGTCTCTGCAACAAAGGGACACTTGACTGACTCTGAGACAATGATCATCTGGCTGAGTGAACAAAAAGCAGTGCCTACAGTGTAAAAACGGGACAGACACACCAAGCAGATGGCTTGAGGCCTGTATGTTCCTGGTTTTCTGAGCTGTTTACATTTTTACGTGACTAATTTTGACATGTTATACTAGAAACTTCCTTTTTAACGGTGACCTGGTAAATGGACTGGAGGGTAGCATGGGACAGGATTGACTTTGAAACTGAAGAGCAGCATGGCTTCTTTTCCTTTAGCCATAACTTTAAATTTGATCTTCCCAGGAGTACTCACAGCCACAGCGACATTAATGCATCTGAAATTTAACATTCCACCCACTTAGATAAAAGACCATAACACTATTTAAGCTTTAAATCATCTGAACAAACTAAAGCAATAAATTAACAAGGAAAAAGAGCCTCAAGTTACCTGTTTTGACATTCTTTAGCAGCTGGGTATCTTTTGATTAATTCTTCCTTATCCTTATGTTGATAATACTTCTTAAATACTGGTATGTAAATGTTTAAAGTTCTGTGTCATTATGGCAACATGGAATATACTTTTTCAGTCATGTTTCACCGCAGAATGCTAGACATGAATGCAAAACCAAGAAACAATAAGCTGATTTAATCTAATTTTCTAAGTAAACAGATCTAAAACTCTATTTCAAAAAGTAGAGAAACACTACTACAGTACGTCTCAGAAGACAATGCTATGTATCATTAAAAAGTTAAAAATAAATACAGTATAGTGGATCTACAGTACATACTGTATATGTATAATTATCTTTAAATATTACAGTAGTTCAGAGGCGAATATTTGGAAAATGTGTTATTTTGAGAATATTGTACATCAGTAGATTATAAGCGAACATCTCAGTGAAGTGAAAGTGTGAACAATCAATTACTCTGTTCTTACAGCCTTACACCCTAAGGAAGAGTGACACAGGGCCAGCAGAAGTCAATGCTCTTCAGTGATTATATTTCCAGTCTCTTCCTGTATTCATTCTTCAGTAACTACAATAAAAGTATGTTTTCAATTCTGGCTGCTCAGTTTTTTCTCAGGGTTCTCTAATGTGCATTAATCAAAGTCTGTTTCTGTAATTTTAATAAATGTTTATCAAATTATCTTTGTGTAATTTAATTTCTTTTGTTTTCTAAACCATAATTAGGCATCAGTTTCAGTACAGCTCCATGCCAGTCTTCCTTTTTAGAAATGAAAAATGTAATTTTAAACTGACATTGAAAAAATTCATTATCATTAAGACTTGAATTGAAATACTGCATTTTGGGAGTATCAATGTACAAAGTCTGTCTTGTTGAAGCTGTTGCTGAAACTAGTCCAAAAGCAATAAGATAAACACCTGCCCTGAGGTGTAGAATGATCATTTAAACTGATAAACATGCTCACAAAATGTATAATTATGGAGATTTGGGCATGTCACTATAATGCAATAGTGTCCAACCAAATATGCAACTGACCATTGTAAGGCCTAAAAAGTATTTGTATTCATTTTCACAAGCATGTGAGACTACATTATGTAAACATCTACCTCATAAAGGTCATAAACTTTTACTTCTTGCTTAATTCATTTATTCAAATGTTTTAAAATATTTTACAAGACTTGTGAAAATTGTTGTGACTGTCATTTTCAGATGAACCATTTTATATTATTATGACAACCACTGAGCATTGTTTCCTCCTACATGAATCCCTACAGAAAAAAAGGGGAACTTTTGATTATTACCATTTAAAGCACACATATATACAGTACTGTACAGTATATACTGTATATATTGTTTGCCAAGAACCCACACAAGAGAATAAACAATACCAACATATTATATTTAGTTTTAAATTCCTCACGACTTCTCACTGACATACCCATTTACATATAGTTCAGTTACTGTAACTTCAAAGATACTGAGCATTTGTTTTAATTAAATGTTGGGTTTTCAGAGAATAATTTTGATGAGGGTTGACATTTTAACTTAAAAGATTATATTATTATTTTCTAAATTTAGAATTATAATTGTAAACAATATGTATAATAATTGTAATGTTACAAACAGACATTTTAAAAAACTGGATTTTGTTTCAAAGATTGTTTAATTGTTTTTGCTAATAAACTCTCTTATACTGTATATATCTATATCCATTTTACAACACATCTCTTAATTCCAACTTTTGTACCTGGTTGGCTAAGCAGTATTTTATACTGAAAAATAATAGACACACTTAAAATTATTTCTTTTTCAATACTTTTTACATTCCTCATTAAATGCTGACTACCTGAATCAATGTTTCCATCAATATTGACCAAAAAAACAGCTGTGCTGATGTACTCAGGAAATCAGCAGCCTGAAGGCTTGGACTTCATACCAACCTCAACAAAGTTTTGTGCACTTTCTCTGTACGGTGAACAGTTTTCTCCAAGGCTGCTACTTTCTAACTGGTTTTAACAGTATTAGCTTAGTTTTAGAGTTTTTACTTTGTATTGTCTTAAACACTCCTATGTTTAAAAAGTATGGAGTTTAGGATGCAGTGATCCTCTCAATGTACTTATTGCTCCTGATAATTTAGAACACCTTATTAAAGCTCACTTTTCTCTCCATTTCTCTTTGCCTCTCTCAAGAAAGAAAAGACAGTCAATAGTTTACTTCTGAAAAATAAAGTGGTAGTGAAGACCTGTACTCAGATGTCTCCATGGAGCTCAGTAACTTCAGTTGTGCCCAGGGATGTGCCTGCAAACCTCCTACTCAGATTACCAATGAGCCACAAAAATCAATGAGACTGAAATACGAAATAGTTATATTGCTTGGGTACATTTTCAGTACCACATTCTTCATAGTTTTGTTTCTGAGCTTCCCAGAACCAATTCAAAAGGACAATTTCATTTTGTATTTTATTTAGAGTTGTCTCTTAAACAAAAAAAAACAGCACTGTCTCCATTAAGCACATATACCACAGTTCAACACTTTGTTAACTAACACACAATCAACTCATATACTGTAAATGTACTTCAGCTGCCACATCTGATAAAAAATATTAAATCAAAAGGCTAACAGGACAACATAAAACACAGGCTTTTGCTTTAATCAACTTCTGATTTTATTTGCTTATGACAAGAAGTATTATTTCTATATAAAAGTATAATATGATAATGGACATTACTCTCTATTCCAGATTCATTCCATTCACTTTATTCTGTATTGTTTTAAAAAAATAATAATATTTAAAAACAGGATCTAAAACTATTTAAATTAAATAAATTATCATAAAGTCTAAATTACATTGAATTTTGCAAGATAATATTCTGTTCCATTTACAGATGAAGATTAATATTCTATGTGAATAATTGAGAATTACTTTCTGGATGTCAGAAAACCACATGTCATTTGACAAACTCTTAAATAAAAAAAACACATATATTGACTTTTCCCACAATACCGTGCAGTACTGTATATGACCCTGAAAAAATACCATTTACAGGTAAAAGTACAAATCGCCCTTTAGCTTCAGAAAGCAAATATTTGAGTTCAGAATTTAAGAAGGAAACAGCTGGCAATTACCCATCTGAAACATTCTCACACACACAAAAGACACACATAACACAAAGTGAAATGGGATTCCAAGTGCAACCTGCAAAATTAATGACCACCTCACAATGAAGGAACAGGACGAATTTGAGCCTTGTAATACAACATGATTACTAACATTTTTATTAGCCAAAGCCTGAGCAGCAGGCAAAGCGGGCTGCTGTTTGACACACAAACAGGCAACTTACAGGGGCACTGCTCTAAAGTGTCACATCAAAGTCACAACCCTGCTGGCTTGGCTTACACCCGATCCAATTAGCTAGGGAGATCAGAGTGACCTAGAAGAATATGAGCTTCTGTGTAGGGTTGAAGAGTCACTTGATCCCAAGTAACACAATCCTAGAAAAACAATTGAGGGACAAAAATGGCAGGTGGAGGGGACAGAGAAACGTCAGCGAGGGGAAAAAAGAAACAAGCTTGCTACAAACTGAAATCACAATGCGTCTGGCTTGCAATGAAATGAGTTTGTCATTCTATTGTTTGCAACAAAAGGACTAATTGAAATGAACCAGTCTCCAGTCTGTTTCTTGGCGCATTAACAGTGCTGTAAGATATGCTGATTCTTACTTATCCTGAATTATTTAACAACACACCTTCCATGGAACAGAGACAAACAAAGAGGAAGAAAGGATATGTGGTCCTTTTCTTATGTGCCAATAATTATGTCCTAGAGATAAACACACTAGAGTGGCAGCTTTCATACAGATCAATCACTCCTTATTTAGGGTTTCTTAACCAGGCCCTTTTACTCCCAGGCACGAAAATGCAAACATCTCTTATTTCACATAACATGTTTTCATTCAAAAGCTTTGTATCATTCCAACATATAACACAAGATTAGCTTCTGGACGTGGCAATCTACGATTGATGCTCCAGCTTTGGTTAGATATTCATGAAAAACATATAGAAAGATACAAACTAGAAAAACTGAATATTAGAGTAAACTCAAATTAGAGTAATTAGAGTAGTTGTATTATTATAATAATTGTATTATAATAATTGCTTACACTTATATAGCGCTTTTTCTGGGCACTCCTCTCAAAGCACTTTACAGGTAATGGGGACTCCCCTCCACCACCAATGTGCAGCCATAGTGCACCAGAAGGGAGGAGAGCAGAGTAATGTAGAGGGGGATTATTAGGAGGCCATGATTTGTAAGGGCCAATGGGAAACTTGGCCAGGACTCCGGGGTTACACCCCTACTCTTTTCGAGAAACGCCCTGGGATTTTTAATGACCATAGAGAGTCAGGACCTCGGTTTTACGTCTCATCCGAAGCCTGTTTACAGCCTGCTGGCCCCACTAACACCTCTTCCAGCAGCAACCTCGGTTTTTCCCAGGAGGTCTTCCATCCAGGTACTGACCAGGCTCACACCT